TGCTTTCAAATCGCTACATAATGCTGCTCCCACCTATCTATGCTCCCTTATACACAAGTATGTCCCATCTAGGCCCTTACGATCTGCTGAAGACTTACGTCTATCCTCTGTCCGTACTCCCACCTCTGATGCTCGCCTTCAAGATTTCTCAAGGGCTGCACCGTTCCTGTGGAACTCGCTTCCCTCCTCCGTTAGATGCTCGCCCAGTCTCCACTCCTTCAAAAAATCGTTAAAAACCCAGTTCTTCATAAAAGCGTATCAATTAAACTGTTAATAGCTCCTGACTGCTTCCTCTTCTGCAACTGTCACTAGTCTAATACTATCCTAACCTATTTGTGTCATTTTACCCCACTCCCTCTAGCATGTAAGCTCATTGAGCAGGGTCCTCAACCCCTTCCTGTGTCCAACTTGTCTGGTTACAACTACGTGTCTGTTCGTCCACCCATTGTAAAGCGCTGCGGAATTTGATGGCGCTATATAAATAACATAATTTATTTTTATTCCTGACTCTTCTCGTCTGACGTCTCCCTTATTCAAAGTGCGTCAATGATTTATGTATATTTTATCCCAGTTGACGTCTTCACCAAACAATTTTATGATGTTGGCACTCTGTACAGGGATTGGTGCAGGTGTTGAGGTCACCCTCTCATGTATAACCCCTAAATGTATACTCGAATAATACAAAATATACCGCACTCAAGTTAATGCAAAACATTTATATTTGGATATTGTTCAAAGGAAAAAATATCTTACTCCATTTCTATGTAGGGGGAAAAAAAAGGCTACCATATATGTATATAAAGACCATAAATCACGTGATCCTATGCCTGTTTGATAAGGTATACAAAAAACGCTATGTGGAGATAAATCTATACATATACAACATATAAATATCAACAAAAGATAATCCCAATTGATCCACCCCCTGACTGATGTAAGCAGCAATATATGCATAAACTGTCATAGGATAACGAAAGAACCAGACAAAATATATATCTGAATGTTCAGTCCACTAATAAAAGTATATGTAATCCATGTTGACGAAAAAAGGAAGGAAAAAAATGTATACAGTAAAGAGCTCAAAAAAAATAAAAAATAAATAAAACATATTTCAGTCAAGGGTATGCATAGCTGAAAAGGTTGGATCTCACCCCTCTATATGATGAATTAGTATGGATCTAGTGAGTGAGTTCATAGGTTGTAATCATCCAGCAGCTGTACTGTGTTGAGGCAGGGCTACAGGTATTGATCACCCTTGGGCTGTAGGCTGTGGGTGGGCTGCGCGCTCAGCACTATGTTGTCCCTTTGAAGGCCCTGGTGTAGAAAAAAACTTTGGGAGTCCTCTCAGCAGAAGGCAGAGTAGTTGGGGTCCCTCCGACACAAGGTTGGGGATCTGCGCCGACTACCCAGCATCCCTGTGATCTAGGTGTGTAGCCCACGGTCTCATCCACACCTCCCAGGCCAACATTCTCAGGTGTTTGTGGGCAGAGACCAGCGGTGCTCTGCCTTGCTACCAGCTCTTCTGCTGGGGGAGTGGTGTACTCTGGTTCCACCACCATCAGAAGGCTGTCCTCCCCACTCTCAAGCCCTCGCATTGCTGCAAGTTGGGGGTAAAGTCCATTGGTCCTCTGTCCCAATTCCAGCCCTTCTGCTGGGGTTGTACGTTGCCGCTGGGGAGGGAGACAAACTACCTCTGCTCACTCCATGAATTCCAGAAAGCACAGCGGGTCCCAGAAGATGCGCCGGTGTCCAGGGATGTTTCCCACCACACATTCTTAGGGTTTCCCAACTCCAGGGACCAGAGGCTCTTTATCCCATGTACCTGAGAGTCCCAGCGTGAGAGTTTCCTGCCTCTGTGACTCCCAGCTACAGAAAGCCCACCAAACCACCATTATCCTCAAGAGTGTGTCCCCACCAATTCAAGGGACTCCCAGAACGGTAACCTCCCCCGCTCGTGGAGTCCCTGGGTGAAACCGGGCAAGGAAAACGTCCTTTTCTGGCACTCATTACTTCCCTTGCGGTTTCACACTTATGTTGCAAGCTGCCAATGTTCTAATTGATTGGAGTGAACACTCCAAGGGGCACTGGGGAGGTCCTCATTCTGGAACCGAACGCAGTGGGAACGAATCAACGAATGCTCCCCATAGATGGCATTTGACTAATGAATGAGCTGCCACCCAGTGTCGGCATGTGCCAAGGCTTCGCTTGAGGTTTTGACACCTCGTTACAATGTGTGAACGTTCTAAGACAACATTCTAAATGAGGTTTCGTGGTTGTCCCCATTTGGGAGGTGAACAGAACTCATTCGTATTGGCTCTCCCAAACAGTGAGCAGGTAAAACACAGGAATATAACACTACACAGGGGAAAACACGGGAAACAACACATAGCAATTCACGAAGAGGCAGCGGTGCTGCCACAAATCCATGGAACTCAAATCGGCTACACATTTCAACGAACACCGCTGACCCTTACCTTCTCCTGCACTGAGTTTTCAGCCACAGAGACTAAGTCCCATTCGAAGATTCGAATGCACGTTCGAATGGGACTTAGTAATTTTTTTCATTGTGAAATTAACCGACCGCACAGCCCAAATCTATGGAACTGTTTTGGGCAGGAAAATGTGCTTGCGGTCGGTCATAAAGGACTTCCGGCTAACTTTTGAACTAATGGAAGGATTTGCATGATTTTTGAGTATGTTCATATTTCAAGTATGCTGATTAATAATATGAAGATATTATGAAGATTGGATGTGTGGTTTTAAAGTTACAGTGTATGTGTAAAAAAACTGTGTGCTTTCTGCCTGTTATAATTAAGTTAGTCGATTGTGTTAAGATAATTGTATCACAGGCAGAGGGGAGGATTTCTGCTGGGATGAATGGGAGTGGTTTACTTTATTGTATGTGTTGTAATGTTTTTATTGGTTGTTCTAAAAAACCCTGTGAGTGGTCCTACGCAGAGGCGGCTCTCTAATTAGGCGATTTAGGCGGCCGCCTAAGGCCTCACGCTGCTGGGAGCCTCGCGGCTGCCTAAATCACCTTAGGGCAGTGTGACAGGTCGGGACCTCAGAGACCGAGGACCCGACACAGGATGGGGCCCGGCGGATTGCCCTTAATGCCGCCGGATGCGAGGTCCCTCCTATGCCTGCCCGGAGAGAGAGCAAGCCTGTCTGCAGCTCCGCTGAGTGCAGAGCTGCAGACTGAGTGGGTCTCGCAATCTCAGCCAATCAGAGCGTTGCCATGGGTTACCACGGCAACGCTCTGACTGGCTGAGATCGCGAGACTAGACTTACCACGTGGTCTGCAGGTCTGCACCCGGCGGAGCTGCAGACCGTAAAGGGAGCCCACCGGACTACCAGGTATACAGCCTGGCCGCCCACTGGACCACCAGGGAAACATTTAATCAAAAGGTATGTAGCGGAGAGCTGATTTCCCACAGCTTAACTCCACTCATATATTAAAAGAATGCAGGAACAAGCAATAAATCCAAGGAAGTATCCAGCACAATCAGCAATAAAATCCAAAGTATCCCATCACCCTTCCCAATCACTGGACGACACACAGTATCAGGAGTAGAACTGAGCTTTAATGGCAACATTCCTGCTTTTATGAGATTCTCCCATGCAAGGGAGGGATTCACCACAATTAGTACAGTAACCAATCCCATAGATGTTGTAGCGGATGGCATTGGACTGTCCTCCAGGATTGTGTTTTAAAAGACTGTTCGTGTGTTTAGCTACTGTATAATTGAAATTGTATGTGGAATTCGTATGCTTGTTCGGTAGTTTTCATTCATATTTCATACGAATGGAAACTACCGAATCAATAGACCACCCCAGAGAGAAGTGTGTACCTCATTAAGGCTTACACACTTCTCTAACCACAGTTAATCAGTGTTTTATTGCTATATCTGGGTGGCCGCCATTCGGTAAGCGAACACGTGGCGACGGCCATCTTACGCACGAACTCTCAGCGGTGTTTGGTCGTCGAGTGTCTGGAACTCAAATCGGACACTCGATTACCCGAACACCGCTGAGACCTCCAGAACTCCCGAACGAAGGGGCCAATCAACCCCTCGTTCGGTGAATTCAATCTAACGAACAAGGGGATTCATGCGAACGCATTATTAGCAATGGATGGCAAAGATTAGTGACTGTTTTACCTCCCGAACGTAGACCGACCGCAGGGCCAAAACACATGGGACCCTTTTCGGTTACCCCTTCGTGTGCGGTCGGTCAAATAGTTTATTCTCAATAACTCCCGAACCCCTGGTCTGATCTGGGTGAATTTTGAGTAGGTTGGTCACTCAGATCAGGGCTACCAGGGGATGCCACTTAGATCCTTGAACCCCACAGTTTTGGGGTACATCCAGAAAACAGGGAAAACTGTACCAGAAATAAGTGGATTAAGTGTCACACTGAGGGGAGGGAATGTATGGGAGGGAACTACTGTACCATTGGTTACTGTCCTAATTATTGTAAATCCCTCCCTTGCATGGGAGAAACCTTTATAAGGAACTGCTGTGATTAAAAATTTAGTTCTACTCCTGATGCTGTGTGTCGTCCAGTCATTGGGATGCTGTGTCGTCGTCCAGTCATTGGGATTGCGATTGGGATATTGTTGGAGTATTTTGCCTGCTGGAAATATTACCCTGAGCCTTACTGGAATCTAAAGTGGAGATAGGCTATGTAAGACCAGCTCTCCGCTACAGACGTCACCACCAACACATCTCCTCCCCTTAGATTAACAGTTAACACAATTATGCAGTACATACTTTTCCCCACTTCTTAGCTGTACCCCAAATATGTGAGATACACCTTTAAATATGGTACCCCGTGGTAGCCCTGATCTGGGTGAGGAACATATCCAAAAATCACCCAGATCAGACCAGGGGTTCGGAAGTTATGGGAAGGTAAAGATTTGACCGACCGTATGGGTAAAGTGGCCGAAAATAGTTCCATGAGATTTGGCCCTGCGGTCGGTCTCCGTTCATGCCTCAAAAGTCCCGAAAGGCTATACCATCCATAGTGAAGTTACGAACCGGATGAATCCCCTAGTTCGTGGGATTCATCCTACCGAACGACGGGCCGTTCGTGCGTTTCCCTTGGTACTTTCTGCAGCCCTGGAGGTCTTAGCGGTGTTCGGTTAGTCGAGTGTCCGTTTTGAGTTCCAGACACTCGACGACCAAACATCACTGTTCGCGGGTTTAAGATGGCGAAAATGGCGGCCACCCGTGGAATATAGCAGAGTGTTCATGTGTTCAAGGGAATGCAACCAGCGATCAGGGAGGTAAATTACATCTATTCTTCCCACCAGGGTGGTCTGGTTGTTCGGTACTTTGTTCGTATGGTGAATATAGTAGTTCCCATGCAAGCAGATATATTTTTCTACCGAACAAAGTATGGCCACATATTTGTCTGTAATTCTGTATAATCCAGGCACAGGGAAAACTCTGCAGTGCCAACAATAAAAGGAAATAAATGGGACAGCCAAAGGGGTTCTGCTACAAGGTATTTGTTTCAGCTCCCCACCCTCTACCCTGCCCTCCTACCACCCTCTGCCGCAGCCCCCCCACACACCACCCTCTGTCCCAGTCACCCTAACACTCTACTGCCCCAGCCACCCCACCACCCTCTGCCCCAGCCACCCTACCACCCTACTGCCCCAGCCACCCCACTGCCCTCTTCCCCAGCCACCCTACCACCCCTGCCCTGCTACTGCCCTCCTACCACCCCTTGTCCCAGCCACCCTATCACCCTCTGCCCCAGCCACTCTCTGCCCTCCTACCACCTCCTGCCACTACCCTGTCACTGTCCTCCTACCATCCTCTACCCCAGCCACCCTTTGCCCTCCTACCACCCCACTACCCTGTCACTGTCCTCCTGCCACCCTACTGCCCCAGCCAGCACCACCACCCTCTGCCCACAGCCACCTACCACCCTCTGCCCTCCTACCACTTGCTACCCTGTCATTTGTCCTCCTGCCACCCTGCACCCTTTAAGTCGCACCACCCTCTGCCCCAGCCACCCTACCACCCTACTGCCCCAGCCACCCCACTGCCCTCTTCCCCAGCCACCCTACCACCCCTGCCCTGCTACTGCCCTCCTACCACCCCTTGTCCCAGCCACCCTATCACCCTCTGCCCCAGCCACTCTCTGCCCTCCTACCACCTCCTGCCACTACCCTGTCACTGTCCTCCTACCATCCTCTACCCCAGCCACCCTTTGCCCTCCTACCACCCCACTACCCTGTCACTGTCCTCCTGCCACCCTACTGCCCCAGCCACCCTCTGCCCTCCTACCATCCTATGCCTCCTACCATCCCCTGCCCCGTCACCTCCACCCTACCACCTTCTGCTCCCTACAGGGCTGGACTGGAGAAAAAATTAGGCCTGGGCATTTTTCAATCAGAGCGGCCACCTAAGAAGGGGGCAGGGCCAGAGAGGGTGTGTTTTGTCATCACTAATGACAAGCACGCCCTCTCTCAAAGTGAGCATGTTGGTTCAATGCGCAGAGCCCCGCTGAAGAGCACTAGCATGGGAAAAAAGCCCTGTAATTTGTTCTGCGCAGCGCAAGCAAATTTAATAACATGCTTGCGCTGTATTTGCTTTTAAATTGTCTCTTGTGTCTCCACAAGTGGGATACCAGAGAACAAAAGGGCCAGGAAAGTGCATGGTGTTTGAAGCCTGCTTGTGGGATTGCGTGTGTGTAGAGTGTGGTGTGGTAGTGTGTAAATAGGTAAATTTCATTTGTGTTTGTGGTGTAATATGTGTGGCTAGGGGCTGTAGAGTGTGTGTGTTAAGACACTCACAGCTTAAATGGATGAAACCGCTATTTAGCCGATATTCCCCCTTTCCAGAGACACAGGCTCTTTACAGCAGACCGCCAAACTCCCGAACGGAACACAAATTAGCCGAATGCCTTCTTCGGCTAAAACAGGCGAAATAAATCCTTCCAAGCTCCGTCTTGAAGGTAAAACAGGAATCACAGTGGCCCAGGTTTAAACACTCCCCTTTATACCAGTAAATCTCTCCTCTCTATCCTGAAGATAATTAGGAAGGAAGAAATCCAATTATCTCCAAGAATAGAGGCTGTGACGAGCAATCTCGCCACATTGCATTGGAGAAGCCTGGTTGCTCGCCTGTTGCCTTTGGATTATGGCCCCATGTTAAAAGACATCTTTTTCCCAGCAGAAAAGGCTTATTCGTGCCTTTTCTGCCCAGTGTTCAGATCCCTCTGTCTTGGACTGAACTTACCGTATGGCTCATTTGTTTGTTTAAGTCGTTGTCCTCGTTCCTGTGGACTCTATGGCGTTCCCTTTTTAGGACCGAACAAAACTACCGAACGGCCGGCCACCCAGTAGAGAAGTGTGCTGCTGATTAACCTCTTGGCCCCATTCGAACGTTGAGGTTAACCGCAGACACCTCTTGATTGATACAGTAGTTGGGTGGCCGTCATTCGTATGCCGAACACGAGGTCGCGGCCATTTAAACCACGTGAAGGCACAGCGGTGTTCGACGCCTAATCCATGGAACTGAAAACGGGTACAGTTTGGGGCGAACACCGCTGAAGCCGCCGACCTCCCTTCTTGTTCAGTAGAAGTGCACGAACGGCCCTATATTCGGTAGTTGTATCTGACTACACCATACCCCAGATAGGAATCCCATGGAGCTCATTCGTGTGAGAACTGACTTTGTGAACACTTTGGCTCCATGGCGATTGAAATGTATTTGTGTAGTCTGAGCGCCATTCGCTTAATAATGTGCGCTCAGACCTGAGCTATCTGGGGATATGTTAAATGTATATCTTTACTGTAACCATTCCAACATGGGGGATTTTAACAGTAATTTCTATATTAGTATCCCCACGTGCATAATGGCGATTTGCCTTTGTCCTAGGAGATAATTGAATTACTTCTCAATTATCTCCAGTGCAGAGGGGAGGAAGCCAGGATGCATTGTGGAAATATAATGTGACTGTGTGTCCTAGATTGCTGCTTGTCTGTCCTTTGTTACAGTCTCCCATTTGGTAGACACCAGGTGGGAGACCTGCATAAATACTGGGCAGGTAGCCCTCATTAAACAGACCACTGCTTGACCCTCAACATCGAGCCTTGTCTCGTCTTTGGGGGGATTTACTGAATGCTGATAGAGACTGATTGCTAGGGGTGTAAGCCGCTTGGGTGCTGTTCCTATTCGTCTGCTAGCAGCTATTCGTATGGTTCCAGTTCGGGAGTGTGGAGTGCTATATTGTATGCAGTTCGGGAGATTGGAGCATTCCCTTATTTGCGGTTCGGGAGTTTGGTGTTCTACAGTAGCTGTGCCTGCATCTCTGGAAGGGGAAGATCGCCTAAACGGTTTTAACCCCTTGTGTGCTGAAACGGTCCGTTACAAAGGCAAACCGCCATTTTACATGAAACATTAAAAATGCATAAAAATATATAACTGTACAAATACCGAATACATCGGATTCGTGTAACGTATCCCCAGATAGCCTGGATCTGAGTGCATATTACTACCGAATCGCGCTCAGATCCCATACACACAGTTCGATCACCATGGAGTCAAAGTCTTTCACAGGTCTTTCGGTATGCGATTGACTCCCGAACGGACCGGTGTTCGCATGCCTCGACGAATGAGAAGGGCGGTCGGTAGTTTCAGCGGTGTTCGGTAGGAAAAGTGTCCGTTTATAGTTCCATAAGATCTTTGCCGCTGGTCTTTCGCGTGTTTCAAAATGGCCACCGCCTCGTGGTCAGCATACGAACGACGACCACCCTGCATTTGATTGTAATGAAGAGGTGTCTGCGGTTAACCACAATGCTCTAATTGGGGCCAAGAGGTTAACCAGCAGCACACTTCTCTTCTGGGTGGCCATCTGTTCAGTAGTTTTGGTGGGTATAAGTCTATAATAACGAACAGGGGCATACGGACAGGCAATTCCGCAAAGGGAGTCAAATTAGAAGAATCAGCAATACCAGTCACACAGATGGATCTGTTACAGTGTGTATAGGGGCATAGTGTTCTAGGTGATGTAGCGATTGTGTGCATATGGGCTGTTGTGTGTGTGTGTGTGTGTATATAGGTGAAGTAGTTTGTAGGGGTTGTAGAGAGGGTGTGTTTAGAGAATGTTGTATGTATTTGCTTACAAGGAATGTAGTGTGGGTGGTGCAGTGTGTGTGTAGGAGATCTAGTGTGTAAAGGACCCAGAGTGTGTGTGTGTGTGTGTGTGTGTGTGGAGGATTAAGAGTGCATATAGGGTAAGGGATCTAGCGTGTATTTGGAGCGTAATGTGTGTAGTGGTGCAGTAGTGTGTGTGTATGTATGTGTGTGTGTGTATATGTGTGTATATGTGTG